TGGGATAGTATGAAAGGAGCCAAAGCAACCTTTCTGCCCGAAGCAAGAGCTATGGCTAGATTGTTATACTCCTTGGCTACCATAGACGAACCAATGCAAAATACAAATTTGCAGAGCCACATATTGAGGAACGCCAAATGTTCCTCCTCAGTTACGTCCTCTCTTTGCGTGTTCACTTTGATGAACTTCTCATAGTATATTTTCTTACTCTTCTCCCTCTTTGGACTCTGGATGTCGAGGACTGAGCTAATTGCCTCACCATGAGGCCTAATTCCTGTCAAAGCAGAAATGTCGAACACCGTTGGACTCATCATCCCAAAATTGAAATGGAATGCATTACCTGATGTAGACCAGAAGCACAATGCAGCATACAACAGATCGGGGTCACATGGTATGTTGACTTTGGATAACTGTATGGTATCATATATATCTGCAGTCCTCCAGGTATCCCCCTTAACCTTCTCCATTCGGTCAACCCAACGGATCCATCCTTCCGTTGCAGTTGGCCATGACTTCCACGTGTTTTTCTCTTGCCAACCAGGTTGCAGTGTGTGTAGAAGTAGCTTCTCCCCTTCTGCTAGGGGATAAAATGACTCGAGCTCTGAAGGAAATCCATCCTTGAAGCACGGGCCAAGCATAAACTCCGAAGAACTTGTAGAGTAGGGAACAAAAACCTCAGGATGTAGAATATCACTGTCAAACTCCTTTATTATTTGCTCCATAGTTGTGGTGAGAAGCAAAGATGGAAACCTGCATAAACGTAAACGATTTAAATTAAAAGCAAGATCAATGTAGCAGTTGCTGCTACGTTAGCTTCATAAGTTAAACAAACACAATGCATGTTACCAGCAGGGGACTCAATACAATCAGTGGCTTAAAGAGAAAACTTACTAAGATTTTTAGTACAATTCACTCTTTTAACTTTTTTAGACGCAAAGCTATAAGTTATCCTTTTAAGGTTCTTTCACTAATTGGTTTGTCAAAAAAAACCCTTCTCCCTTATCTGTTACTAAGACGACTTGAATGGCGAAGTAAAGTCTTCCATGTTAATGTTGATTGCTATTGATAAAGAATGCAACAAAAAACAAGAAGATTCATTGAAAGATGGAACTTATATTGAAAAATATCAAGGTGATGTGAGGGAGATATTAGATGCAAAGCGAGTTTGGTGCAACAAAATCCTCAACAACAACTAGATAGTGTGGTTTGGTTTACCAATTCGTAACACAATACAGCAAATTTTAGGCACTTTTGATGATCTTTCGAATAATATTGTGTATGAGATCAATCTAACTACTTCTAAAATGGTTGTCGCTAATCAAGAAGCTAAGTAATTAACACATTAAAGGAAAATCAGTTTGCTAATATGGTTAATTCCATTCCATTGATAGATTTGATTACCTACAAGATGAGAACATATTCGCAAATGCAGATACTTCTCTTAGGCAACGACACAATAACAAAAAAAATATATAAAAGAAAGACTAGTTAGAATGGTAAGATGACTGAGGAATTGTTCCAAAGCACCTATCGATACAACTAGCAAAACAGCATCACATGACAATGTCAACAACTTCAACAAGATCTAATGAACACAAGCAAAAGTGATGAACTATCAAGAGCTATTGGACAGATTTGAATAAGAAGACGAGAAAAGTACTTCAGGTTATTTTAGAAGAGCAATCTATCTTTTTTAATTCATCCATTTGTACAAGGAAGTTTGAGGTTGATAACTCAACTTTCTTCTTTCGCTTTATAACTTTGCATTACTTCGCTTTAAACTATTTAACCGTTATTAGCTATATATACTAATAAGATTTTTGATGATAAACCCAATAGATATACTTATAAACTATAAATAGTACTCACGAATGACTAATTATATAATAAACGCAAATATTTTAGAGGTTTTTAACTTTTGGGGGCTTAACCTTACTCTTAGAGATACTAGCAATAAACATTTTTCCATTCCAATGTCCTTACATTCCATCACTAATTTCCAATTTTACTTCTATAATTTAGATTAATAAGTAAAACTACTTTATTTTTCCAGCTAGTTTGATGCTACAGTTTTTCCACTAATATTCTATCTTTTCATATCTTGTCAAGATACCTTAAATAGTCGTATCTAATAAATGAGTTAATCAAGTCAACACACAATCAGAGGCGGACCTAGGTGGACCCTAGGGGGTTACACTGTATATATAATTATGCCAAATAATTATTGTGGAGACCTGATTGGACAAAACATGATGCACTTTCAGATTACTGAGGACATGCCTTTAGAAAGGAGGTCGTGGAGGACACACTGACACATATGGTTGGAAGGCGAGTAGGTAATAGAACATTGTCTCACTTATTTTTTCATATTAGTAGTCGTAGTATTACTCATGGAGTTTCTTGTCCTTCGATGTCTGTTGTTTTATTGCACTTAAATTATCATATTAGTTCGTTGAAGTTATTTTATTTTTCAATATGCTTTGTCATTCTCTCTCTAGTACGTATTTTGCTACGACTTCATTACACTTTTTCATTTCGTTTCATTTCTTCTTTTTCTTTGACCCAATGGTCTATCGAAACATTGTCTCTACCTCCCAAAATAAAAGTAACATTTTCGTACACTCTATCCTCCCCAAACTTCACTTGTAGATTTACACTAGATAGATTATTATTGTTATAGTATCTGATGGTCTATAGATTAAAAAAACTTAACCTTTACAAAGCTAACATCATTTTACAAAAACTTTGAGAGCCATTTGGACATAAGATCAAAATGTGATATTTACTTGATTAAACAATACTCTATTTATCTCAATTTAGGTATCATACATTTTTTTTTTGGTCTGTTCATGAGTGTAATTCCTTCTACATTTAGCAAAATTTCAATTCCAACATTCTACCTCGCAAATCTAAGATCTCAACAATTTAATCAATACACACACATTTATAATTTAATCCCACAGAATTTAAGAAAGATTAAAATCTACTAACCTAACCAGAGAGGATTAAGAAATGTCGTCAATTGATATAAGCACAGACAGCCGCACACAAATTTAGGGGAAAAAAAGTGCCAAGTAACACCTTTTATATATATATATATAAGCACACACGTGTTAATTAAATAATGTGACATAACACATTGATTTTCTAGGTTTACAGTTATGTAAGTATTAGTAAATTAAAATACATTGATAACTATTTAAATTTGTTATGTAAAATGTTAGGTAGGTATTAGTAAGTTAAAAATAATACATTAATAGATATTTAAATTTGCCGCGTGATATGTTAGGTAGGTATTTGTACGTTAAAAAAATATATTAACTGATATTTAAATTTACCCCGTGAAATGTTAGATAGGTATTAGTAAGTCAAAATATATTAACAGGTATTTAAACTTGCCGCGTGGAATCTTATTTTTACCTAATAAAGAATTGAGCGATAAGACTCCAGGGAGAATCGATCCCGCGTCAAGCACCAAGTTTTAGTTATGAGTTTCGAACCGTCAATTTATTATATTAATAAATTTTTAATATAATGCAAGGTTTAGAAAAAATTTACTGGGTTTTTGAGAATTATGAGTTTCATATTTAACCTTCAATTACTTGAAATACACTTTTGGTCTCTTTGTTTATAATATATACGAATTTTTAGAATACCCTTTCATTATTTAATTATCCATGTGAAATATTATACTTGTATTGCTACTTTATTATTCAGGGCAATATCCTTCTAAAAATAATTTAAATATAACATATTTCTCATCTAAAGTAATAAAAAGACATTTTTTAATTGATTGAAGGTTAAATATCTTGAGTCAAATTTCTCATACCGAAAAAATGAATTTAAGGTTCCTCAAAAGTCAAATCCTTTTCTTTTAAATAAGTCAGAAAATATTAATTTTAATAATAATAAAAAACAATAACCAGATAATCAATTTCAACATAATTAAATCCATTATATCTTGTGCTCAAATTTAGCATAGGCCAACAAATAAACACTTCAAAGAGAAAGGCGAAAGGCCTTATCTAGTTCTTGGCAAGTTTAATATCTATTTTCCCAGTAATGTATTTTTTTTCTTGTTTCTTATTAATCTTTTTGGAGATTAGGGTTTTGTAATTTGGTGTGTGTGGGGAGGGGGGGCTAATATCGGCTAGTGGGGTCTACAGAGGGTAAGATTTATCGGTCAGAGGCTAAGATTTAGGTAGACCTTTACTTTGTGGGGGTGTGAGATAAAAGGATGTTTTCGATAGATTGAGGTGGAACTAGGATTTTTACTAGTTATGGGGTTCAAAATATGAATAACTACATACACAAATTAGCTAAAGAGAGTTCGAGATATACTGTATATACATAAAAAATAATTTTAGCCATGTATAAATAGTGTAATTTTCCGTTGAAGGATTCAGGTGAATCACCTAGGCCCAAGTTGGCTCCTCCCATGCCGATAGACCCGTAGCTCGACAAAAAAAGGACTAATTTCTGAATGAAATCGACCTATTAAATAACAACAACAACATATCCAATGCAATTCCACTAGTGGGGTCTTGGGAGGATAAGATACCCCTACCTTTGTGGGGGTGTGGGGTAGAAAAGACTTGTTTCTGATAGATTCTCGGCTAAGAAGACGAATTCGAAGCATGATAGCAAGAAAATATGACAACAAAATAATAAGATACGGGCAACATATAGTAGTTTTATATAGAAGAAAAAGAAACAAAATGGGACAACATTCTCGATCGACTATCTACTAACCTTCTAGCCTAATGACTGATCCTCGACCTCCATACCTTATTGTGTAGATACCCCTACTAACATGTTTGAGTTTCTTTTGAATTTTAATTTCAAATAACAATTCTGTTTAATCCTCTGTATTTGTAAAGAATGCAACTTTTTCATATTAAGAGGAGATGGATGATTGATTTAATTAGAACGAGACGCATCTTTCTGCTCTTCTTACATTTCTCATTTTTGTATTCTGTTGTGTATTTCCTACAGGTTCTTATTGGTGAATATCGTTATATAATATGAGACATAAGTGCAGAAAGCAATGTTCCCATCGAACATTACTTTGTGACCTTCCTAGGAATGTATTAGATGAAATCCTTATGTGTTTGCCTTTTCGAGATGTTGTGAGGACAAGTATCTTATCGAAAAAATGGAGAAATCTATGGCATGGACTTCCTGTGTTGACGCTTTCTCACACACTTTGGAAACCTGAGGAGGATTTAGCTGATCTTACAAGTAACCTTGTAAAGATCATCAACCACATTTTGATCTTTCATACAGGACCAGTTACAAAGTTTACCCTCTGCGTTCCTTATTTGGATACGTGTCCTAATATTGACAACTTGATACGTTTCCTCTCTAGAAACGACATTCAACACCTTGTTCTTAGACTTCCAATCAGGGGTAGCCTATACAAAATGCCTCTTTCATTCTTCACATGTTTCGAGTTAAGGCATTTGACTCTCCAGAATTGTTCGATACTTGCTGAACCATCCTTCAAAGGATTTGATAGGTTGATTAGCCTAGAACTATGTGATGTTGCAATTTCTTCCAAGTTGCTTGAACGTTTAATCTCTCGTTCCTTGTTGCTCGAGCAGTTGGTGCTGCAGATCTCAGGTGTTTCAAGCAATGTCATTGAAATTAGTGCTCCAAATCTGAGATCCTTTGACTACACAGGCAATATAAGATCTCTCTGTTTAAAAAATATCCCTCGTCTGGCAAAGCTTTCACTTTCGCATAGGGAATATTACGTGGGAGCAGGAAAGTGTAATATCGCCAAGTTTTTTGAGTTTTTCTCTGCTCTCAAGCACCTCCACTTGAATGACATGGTAAATGTTGCTTCATTACTGCATTTTCAATCATGGAACATCTTTTGGGCTTTGAGTCATTCTGTTTTATGGTATTTTCTTCCTAGTTCTTTGTTGCAGGAGCAGGTGAAGTACCAACGAGGCTTTCCTACGATCTTTATTGTGTCAAACATCTCTGCATATCTAGCATCTATCTGTCTGACCCGAACGAGGTTTCATGTGCTCTTTGCTTGATAAGAAGCTTCCCGAATTTACAATCTATGGAAATTAAGGTTCTCTTTTCTCGCTTTTTATGTAGTATCTCCTTATTTCCGTGCTCCTTAAATCATCAATAAGCTGAAAAAGATGAGTTTTGGTTCATCGTTCTTAGGTGGAGTGCGATGACAATGATATACCAGCTCTAGAATCTCTTGAAGTGGAACGCTTCTCAGATGTGACGTTTAATCACCTCAGGGAAGTTAAGCTAATGCAGACTAATGGCACAATCCCTGAGATACAACTGATGAAGCTTCTGTTGGCTAAGTCTCCCGAGCTGATGAAAATCATAATCGAGCCATGTGTAATTGAAGAATCCGCAACTGTCAAAATACTCACTGGGCTAATACAGTTTCAGCGGGCATCAACCAAGGCATAAGTTGTTTATAAGTTGGATAAGCATCCAAATCCCGGTCCTGTTTGATTTTCACACAGAGTTGATGCAGTAGTATAACGCTGAGTTTTTGGGGATATAAACTACTGTGGATGGATATATTGTTTCTTCAACTTTGTTACTATATTCTGCCTAATTGCCATCAGTTTTTGCCTAGTGCTTTTGTTTCTTCAACTTTGTTTTTCTCGAACTGCTTTATTATGCTTTTACTTGAACCAAGGATCTATCAGAAATCACCTCTCTACCTCCTAAGGTAGGGGTGAAGTTTTATGTACATACAACCCTCTTCAGACCTCACTTCTGTGATGACGCTGAGTATATTGTTGCTTATGCTTGAAATGAGACTTGCAACAAGAATTACTATTGTTTGTTTATTTCATACTTCAAAGTTGGCAATTGAACACTAAAAGCTTCCTTACCCTTTTTGGCGAAAACCAAAGCATCTTGCCCCTACTTTTAGTGGTAGAAACGTTATTTCTTGCTGACCCTCGACAATCGTCTTTATTTATTCAATCTTGAGATCGATAATGTGAACGAGCTAAATGAAATTAAAAACACACAAATCTGGTCATGTTTGCTTTGATAACTCACAGCTCACATGTAAGCATAATTGCCTAACTTGTGAAATATCTAATTGAATCACATGACTCATGACACCAATTTAAGTATACAACAACTAATCACAATACTATAAATAACAAGACCAAACAAACAAATAAAAAAAAAAAAACTTAAAAACAGTTAGTACCAAAAACAAAAAGCAGCCAACTTTCCATTTTCCAATACCAATAAAACCAAAAGATTGGTTCCACTCTTCAATTTTTCAAATTACCCAAAAAAAAAATAACTTGGGGTTTCCAAAAAAACAGTAAAAATGTAATCTTTCTTTCACCAATTTCTGTGGGAACCTTTTTTTTTGTTGTTCTTTTGATTGAGTAGATCTCTATTTCTTAGATGAATGAGTTTATTTTGTTGTTTTGATCTTGTGGGAGTCTCTAATTTGTTGATTTTATGCAGAAAATTTCAAAATCTTGAAAAAGTAGGATGAAATCTGGAAAGGGTCATCATGTGGAAGAAGAAGAGGATGAGTATGATTTTGGTTCTAACAGAGATGCCACACCTTCAAGTAACAGTACTAAAGGTTTGTGAAATTTTTTATTTTTGTGTTTGTTGTAGTTTAATGGTAGAATTTTCTGCAAGAAAGGATTTTTGAACTGGATTTTGAGGTGGGAATAATTTTTTGGACTATTTTGGTTTAGGTTAATTGTTTAAAAATGTAATTTTTATTTACTTGTTGGAAGTGACAGATGGGAAGAACAGTGACAAGGCGAATGCAATTAGGTCGAAGCATTCAGTAACAGAGCAGCGTCGGAGGAGCAAGATCAATGAGAGGTTTGTTTTTGATTTTCTAATTTTAGTTATAGTTGATTTGGTAGGAACAATAAGGTATGAATGCAACTCGAGAACCATGAGTTCATGCTCAGGAATTGGAATTCAATTGAGAAACAAGCTCACAAACTGAACTAATAGAGTAATTGTATTGATAAACTCTGAAATGATTAGGGTGAGTTTGTTTATTAACTGTTGCTGACATAAGGCACCAAAATGCTCTTAGCTATGGTGGCAAAAATTACACCTAATTGTCTTAACATGAAGGAGACATTTATGAATAGAAAAATATATACAGAAAAAAGCTTTAATATTCCATTAGGAATTACTTCCCATTTACTGAAAATATATTGGATACGGATATCAAGTTACGAACCTAAGCAGTAGATTCTGAACTGGCAAGCACTAGTTAAAATAAAAACAAGTTGCAAACCTGAGAAAAAAGACAATGCATGTCTTACATTTTGAGGCCACAGAGATCTTCGAACTGAATATTTGCTTTGAAAGCCTACCTCTTGGTACCATTGCAAACTTTGAAATACACTTGCTCGGTGCTGATGTACGTCATGTTGATGAACATCTGATGTCTTCTCCATTTGTATGTTATGTGATTTTCTTTTCTTTTCATGTTTGTGTTGCAAAGGCGCTCTATACATACTCAAGTTGATTTACAAGATAATGCATTTATTTTGTTGTGACTTTATCTTTAGAATTTGTAACAATTGCCAGATTTGTGTAAAATGCCTGAACAAAATTTCTGCACTCTTGACAAAGCTTTTTGTCTATCTCTAGATTTCAGATGTTGAGAAATTTGATACCCCATACTGATCAAAAACGAGATACCGCGTCATTCTTGTTCGAGGTACATTTTAGAAAGAAACTTTTACATTCTTCTTCTTTAAAGTTTAGATTTATTGGTTTATTTTGATGTTTGTATGCAGGTAATTCAGTACGTACAGTATTTACAGGATACAGTACAAAAGTATGAAGGATCATATCAACCTTGGAGCTCGGAGCCTACAAAACTTATGCCATGGGTAAATTATATACCTAAATTTATAACATCTCTATTCTCACCATAACTTTTTTGGTTGTGAACTTTTGAATTGGGCTCTTTTGGTCTTAGCTGTGCTAAATATTATTCCTCTAACAGAAAATACTCTTGCTTCAGATTGTTAAGATATTATGTAATCCACGTCAATTAGGAATGATTTGATTAGGATTCTGTAATTATACACTTGCTAAAATTGTACATATTGAAGTACTATAAATCCCAACCAAGCTTGTGGGAAATAATCAAGTTTTTTCAGTGCAATTATCTCTAGTTTTAACAGAGACAGAAGTTGCAAAATAATTCAGAGCTGATCTGTACAGCTGAACAGTGAACTTGTAAAAGACACATTCAGCTCTAGTCTGTCTAGCAGACTTCCACGTAATTGCACCCATGCTCTGTAAATCGTTTTCAAGTTGAGTCAAATTGGAAAGAGAACTTTCTCTTCCTTGCCCCCCTACGTCCACCCCCACCAAACACACACATACATGCACCACTCTCTGATGACCATTGAGGTGCATGTAATTTCAGGTCACATTTTATGTACTGGTATATGCATGGTGCTCTCATTTTGTGGTTCCATTGTTTTTTTTTTTTTATCTTTCCACTATTTCATATGTGAATATGTTCATGGTTTCAGAAAATAGATAGGTCTACATTATGGATGCATCTGATCTATGGGTAACTATACCTTAGATTGGTTTTGGCTCGATTGCTTTCTGGTGTTGGCCTTTAGTCCTGCAAGATTATGACATATCCCCCTCTTCTTCCACTTTACTCTCTTCCAGATGTAAAATTCCGTTGATGCAACTTAGGCTATATAAGGGGGCTGCTATTTAGGCAATGATAAGTCCGTAGGTGCAACATAAATTGTGCTATTAACTACCTAGACTGTGTTTTTGCATCTCTTAGTATAAGGAATGGAGGAGCATGACTACGTATACTTCGTAATGGGAACAATATGTGTTTAGTTATAAGTGTGTGCTACTTTTGAAATCCTTCAGAGAAACAGTCAGTGGCACGCACAGAGTTTTCCTGCAAACCCTCAAGCCTTGATCAATGGTACTGACACAGGACCAACATATTCAGGAAGGTTTGATGAGAATCTCTTAACCGTCACTTCGTCTATGCAAGCAAATCAGCGGAATCCACTTGAATCTCATCCTGCCGGTGATGTTAAATCAATGGATCAAGAAAAGGAACTAGCTAGAATGGCAATTGCGACATCGATGCCTCTTCAGGCTAGTATGCCAGTCCCTTTTCAGAACGATAGTGCCTTCTCTGACTCGCTACCTACACCTGCTTCTGATGAATGCCCCAGCACCACTAATGCTCTGAATAATCAGGAGTTTATGGTAGAAGGTGGCACAATCAACTTTTCGAATACTTACTCTCAAGGGTGAGTACATTTATCTAGTTTTAGAGTTTATAATATTAAATAAAGTGTGTGGTCTCTGTATATTGGAAGTATATTAGTTGTCTTCTGCAGGCATTTGCTTGCTTTTCCTTTTTTGTTAGTAGTCGTTCTATATGCTGCTTTCATGTTTTAAGACACTGCTATCTCTGTCACTGAATGATGTTGCATGAAAGAATGTGGTGACATCTCGAGTATCTTAAGTATGCCTTTTTTGTTATGATGAAGCTTGTGTATCTCTCATCACAAATTTGGAATTTTTAAACAGTTGCGATGATTGCTATATTTATTGCTTAAGCTAGCATGTTGAAATTTCTCTAGTTAATGAGTCGTAGTTTTTGTATTCCAAAAAGCTTTTGTGTTTCACATTACCGGCTTATCTATATTCTAGCACAATAGCCAGAAATACCACTTATATTATCATCCTTATACTTGAAAATTGAAATACGTGAAGCTGAGTCGTTGGACATATACACCAATTTTGCCCATATGCGTGTAGAGTTGTTGAACTCGGAGTTTTTTATTCGTGGATGCTTATGTTAGATCTAGAGTTGTTCAAGAAAATAATTATTGGCTCTTACCTCTCTTACATTTGCTACAACTTCTCCTGAGATTCATGTCAAGTTGAATATTTGCAAGTTATCTAATGATATTGATGTATTATTCATGCTGACCCTTGATCGATGATTTGTTTGCTTTTACTCAGATTACTGAATTCGTTGACCCAAGCGCTACAGGCTACTGGCCTTGATCTTTCACAGGCCAGTATATCAGTGCAGATTAATCTAGGGAAGCGGACAAACAAGGATGCTAAGGTATGAACCTTTTCCGACTTCTATGTAGTCATTCACCGATCCTACTCCCTTTAGGATAATGAGATCAATCACGGTATTTAGCTGACCAATACTACACACATTTCACTCTAGGATACAGAAAATCCTCCACCTGCACCTGGCGATCAATTTATGGAGGAATTTCGGGATATAAACAATGATGAAGAGTTGGACCCAGCTCAAAAGAGGCTGAAGAAATAGATATAACTATGTATAGCATGGCAATACCAAAGTCAAATCAACTCAAGTTTGCATCACCTTCGCGTAAATCAGTTGAGTGTATATCCTGCGTTTCTTTTGATAACTTTCCTTTTTCCTTGTCTGTAGTTAAACACGAATTCGACATGTTCTGAGTCTGTGAAGTCAACAATTTATTTATATGTAGAAGCAATGTTGTTATGCTATGCTATAAATTGATGGACAAAGTTTGTCTTTGCAC